ATTTTTCTAAATGGGGCAAACATACATATATAGAATCGTCAATGAAAATTAAATGAAAACTGAAATTTAATATTAGTTACTATTTGAGAAGTAATTTCATTATTAAAAAGTGATTTATATTAATGCACCTTTGGATTTATTGAACTTTCATGAAACAGACACAGATGTAGTTTACTTAAAGGGGCACGGGAGGATATCTCAAAATGCTTTATTTTATGTGTATGTGAAGCATAAAGCCCAGCAGCTGAAGCGGCACCAGCTGACACCGAAGCTGGCCAAGAAGAAGTTCGGTAGATTTGCTTTTTATTTGAAATTTATATGCGAACTCGCCGCCTCCCGGGAAAAAAGGCGTGGGAAAACGCACAAAGAGGATCTATACGGAGAATGGAGATGATGATGAGGACGAGGACGAGGATGGTGGCCACCGACTCTTCACACAACTATTTGCCGCTTTTATGGAGTTGAAGCTTTGACTTCTCGGCTGCTCGCTGAGCCACTGGAAATGGAAATGCGCCAACGTTGTGGCTTTTTAATGTTTTCTTGTTAAAGTTTATTGAAAAACTTTGGCCAGTCACGTTTAAGTAGTCAGCGGGCGCAGTAACTTATAACTGTGAATACAAACACATACCCATCTGAACGAATATTTATATATATGTATTCTATATATATACAGTGTTTTAGGACGGAGCGTGGGGAAAACGAATCGTTTTCCACGACCAGAAATGAAACATCTGCAGAAGTGCACGCCTCCATGCCCATGAAAATGGGGCCAAAAGTGATTTCTTCTGTTTAATAACGAAAACGGAAACTTGTGCATATTACTTTATCTATTCTCTTCGGTCTGTGGGGCCGGGGGATGGGCGCAGAGAGGGCTTTGCGGTGGGCGTGGTCGGGGTCGTGTTTGCTCATAATTGAAATTTCGCGCTAAACAGGAAGTGGCTATGGCCAGCGCTTTTGTTGCGGCCAGTTCAAGTTGTTCGAGTTTGTGTTGAATCAACTCGGTCTGAAAGCTTTTAGTATGGTAGATGGAGGGGTGGATGGCAGCACAACATGGCCGAGCGGCGGGGAAAATGCAGTTCATAAACAACAGCAGGAGATGCGAAAATGCAATAATATTTATGAGAAACACTCTGTGTCCGGGGCAGTCAGATGATGTGCGATGCGAGATGGGGCGAGTGCAAAAGAAAATTAAGACCGGAGAAAATGTGAAATGTGTGCGAAAACATTCAGAAAAGAATGGAGCGGGAGGAAAGTTTGTACCCCTGGAATTGTCATTGTCTTCGCATCCAGATACTACACATGTTCCCATCCCAATCTCTGTCCACTCGCCTTTGTTAGGCGAACAAAGAGCTGGGAATTTACCACTGAATGGCAGTTTTAAGAGTAAGTTTTTCTCAATGTAACGTCAACATATCGATCCGCTGAGCTCCACTTTTGTGCTTCCAAATGTGTAACTTCCCACTTTTGGAAGAATTTTAGTTTCAATTTAACAATGATGGGAAAAAAATTGTGGGGTTTTAAACTTTAAGCTTTTACGAACAAAAGAAACTGTTTTAAAACGAAGAAATAAATTTTTCTATTATACGTCTTTAAATAAAACATATTTTGATTACAAAGGTTTGTCTTATCCGCAGTTTTAAAAATAAAACCATTTTTAAATGCTGTTTAAAAAGCTTGCTTTCTCTTGGTTAGTTTCAATTAAATCATGCTAAATAATTGCTACATTTATCTATCCAACAGTGCATTAAAGGTACTGAAATCCACAAAAGGTGAAGTATGTTCAAAATACTATAATTCCTCTTCTGGAATTTGTGCGAGTCTGCTGCTATCTCTAGTTGTAGCGCCCTAGTGTTTTACCTGGCCGGACATTATTTTTGCCTGGCATTCCATCTATCGTGCTGCGCTTTTCCTTTCCAGCTTTCCCTGCTTTTCCCGCTGCATCCATTTATTTTCCACTCTCGTGTCGCTGCCGTCTGTCAAGCCAGTTGCTCGAACATTGCAGGTCCCCCCACTTATTCCACCATTTTCATCGTACACCCCATCCATTTCCACTGCACACACGTACTGCAGTGTGACATGTGCTTCCTCTGTTGTATTTTTGAGCTCCCTCTTCTCTTTTCCACTGCTATTTTCCACATGTGAAATTGAACTTTGCATCTTGCTGCGACGCGTCGCAACTTCACAGATACAAAATGCAACGAAATTTTCATTTGCCAGCGCCGATGTTGCACTTGACTTGTGGCGCTCCTGCCGCCTGTGCACCACCACCACCTCCGCCTCCAGTTCGAGATCCCCATCCGCATGTAGCACTATCATCTCCATCCATTCTGACCGCCTCGCAGCGCTTATGACGTTGTTTTGACACTGCGAACGCGCGCGTGTTTATAAATAAAATATGTATGGAAATATATATTTGTGAAATTTTTCTACGCTTCTGCTAGATGCTGAATGGTGGATGGTTTTGGTGTGCACATGTGTTGCACTGCTGCACCCTTCTGCTGCTACTTTTGCCGTTTTTCCTTTGAAGTTCATAAAAATTAACAAAAAATCAATTTACAACACAAACGATGCGCTGATGGGGCGACTGAAAGAACAAGAATGCCGGCGTGGAGTGCGCTTCTAGATGTTTTCATTGCAATCGAATGTGCGCTTAGTGACGCCGCCTGTGATCTAAACCGCCACGCCCACTGTCCTTGGGGTGGTTCCTCGGATATTGTTTGTATATGAATATTTTTTGCGAGCGTGTTGATTGCCCATCAAAGCAAAGCCAAGGCCAGAATAAAAAAGCAGCAGGAGCACAGCAAGAGATTTGCATAGAACACATACACATACACCATCGAGCGGCGAATAAATCCCCTCTAATGCCAAAATGCTTCTATTTCAGTACACTAAACAAAAAATTAACTCAATCACTTTCACTCTGGGTATACCAAATATAGATGAATATCTGTCATATTTGATCAGAATAAAATAATGTTAGGGGCTTAATTTGTTTATCTAATACGTTTTAGATATATAAATGTTTATCAAAGGATAAATAGTTTGTATATTTACTTTATTTTCTTTAGTCATTGTAAGAAAAACAATCATTTTAGGAGGCTAAGTTGATAAGTTCGTGCTTTCGATAAGATATTCATACTTCGTTATTAACTTTAATTTGTCATAAATAACATAAATGCCAATTAAATCTGAAGAGTTTGATTTTGGATACATTTTTTTGCCCCGTGCAGTTATTGCTGTAGCGTCAGCAGGAACATAAAAATAGCGACGATTATGATGAAAATATTCATGCGACAAACGGAAGCCATATCTCCTGGCTGGTTCTTGCTCTGGCTCTGATTCCCCCAACACGCGATGTGCTGCGACTTGTTTATGTGCCAACGATACGCAGCACATTTGGATTCCACTTAAGGCGTCACCAGTGCGGTGTTTTGCCAGTGTCAGTGTGTTTTTGGCCAATGCGAAGCCGGAGGCAAGGAAAAGCCGCAGATACATGCCGAAATTCGTTTGGCCGGATCAATGGCACACGAGCCAAGGCACTTGAGAGAGCGCCGGGAAAGCGCCTTTTCCGTAGCCATGCAAATACCAAGTGGAAACTGGAGCTGAGCACGTCGAGGATTGCCGCTAATAAAGCGGGAAACGTAATTAAATTTAATGCTCGGGATGCTCGCAGACAAAAGCCAAACGGCCATGACGTCTAAAGCCGAGTATTGAAATTCAATTTACTACAAAATCCCATGCATCGATGGGCCCAACGACAAACGGCAGCGAAATAGAAAATGCTGGAAAATGTGTCTCGATTTCGGCAAATCCTGTCATAAATTTCAGTCGCCCCTGGCACGGCCAACCCATCTCATCCCCGGGACTTCCAAAGGGGCAACAAAGGAAGACGACGACACGCAGACGACCCCAAAAGGAAAATATGCTGATGTCGATGCCGAATTATGATTTGTTTTTGTCGACTGCCCGGCGGGCAGAAAGGGGCGGGGCGTCATATCCGAGTCGCTGGGGAAATGTGATTTGCCCCAAGGTTGGCCCGGCGAACTACTCGCAACAGCAACAACCAGTTGAGGCGCTCGTAAAAAGCAGAAGGCCCAGGCACCATCACCACCTTCCCCGATCCGAAAGGCAGACCCAACACATCCTCGACCTCGCAAATTATAAAGTTGTTTGGCCAAAAGTGCTGACGCTCTCCATGGCACCATGGCTTGCAAGTTTTGTGTTCGTTTTGAAAAATGTGCCAAAACGCCAAAAGGGGAGACGGCTAAGGAAAAAAACTTGTGCACGTTTTATCTAACGCACATTGATAAGGATTTTTGGCAGTCGTCGCATGATTTGCAAGTTTGCACAAAATGCTTCAGCAAGATGAACGTTTTGTGCAGACGTGAGCGAAAATGCGATGACCTCTTGGCATAGTTGGGCTCCTTTTTCCAGGATTTACATTCCGATGATCAAATCAAGTGGCCAGCGCAGCGAGCTTTTGGGATTGTGAGCAGGTGTTGGCCAAGGCAGTCAAGGAAATTTGGGTTAAAGTGAAAAAAGGGCATTAGTTCAGAAAACACCTTGTGATAACTAATGCACATCTTATGGTAAAAAACTGCTTTTAACAGGAGAACGCATTGCATTGAAATGTATTTTCAAGTATTACTTGAGCTTCTTTTTGAATTGTCAATTCCTTTAAAGCCAGTCCTTAACCCGACTCCTGACCTTCGACATTTTCACAAACATACACCCCACGGTGCACACTTTTCAAACAGTTTCTTTTTCGATTTCGAGCAAATATTGCTGAATTTTAAACAGTTTCCATTGTCTGGGCAAATCCTAATGACGAGCGCAGACCATAACGAGCAGGACTTCCCTTCAATAATTTGAGGGGAAACCACCAGCTCGTTACAGCTGAAGTAACAGGGTTTCTATTCAGTGCGATCCCAGCTCTCGCCTTGCCAATCGTTAGCTGTTATTGTTATTGCACGTAATACAGTTGTCCGGGTTGTACTCACTGTTCTTTTGAAAATCCTGCGACTCCTCGTCCGCCGAAACCGATTTTAGCTGCTGCAGGCAAGTCAACAGGGCCAACGTCAAGCCGACAGCCCAAATCGTTTTCCCATTGTCCGGGCATCTCGTCCGTGATTTTCGATGTGTGTTGCTGTTGCTGATGTTGCTGTTGTTGTTGCTGCTGTTGCTGTTGCCGGTTGTCTGCTGCCAATATGTCGTTTGCATTGCTGTTGTCTCGGGTTCTGGTTTGGCTATTGCTGGTATTCCGCTTGTTGGTAATAAAAGCTGCATGGCTGTCATTTTGTTGTGCTTGCGGTGCGTTGTGCCAAACGCGAGAACGTCTCGTCATTTATGTGGCAAACTTCAATTTGACCAGAGTGTCAAAGAAACGCAAAAAAGTGCATGGGAAGTAGAGAATGTTGCAGCTTGCAAGTCGACTGCAGTTCGCTGTACGCAGTTCGTGTCCTGGCGCCAATAAACACGCGTCTCCCTGTTATGGCCGCTCGGCTATTTCCGCTTCCGCCGTTGGCTTTAATGAAGCGCCAATGTACTCTTGGCCCATAAAAAGAGCATTTCCGCAGACATCTACGAATGCATGTCCGTGTGACTCAGATCAGGTCCGTAGAATCGCTTAATGTACTTTTACATGTTTATTCGCCGTTTTATGGTCGCTCTCCTTCGGCGGATTGACGGTCGGGAATCCTGTGAATAGAAGAGCAAAAGTCGAAACATGAGTAAGTGCTGATTATTTTTGGGTGCACAGTAAGAAATTAAATCAATATATTTCAAGTCCAATATCTATAATTTTTAAGCAATATTATTTTATGTTTATTTGTTTAGCATGGAAAGCATGGACAAGATTTTAGAACTATAATATTCACTGATATTAATGATAAGACTGTAAATATTTTATTTGAGTGTACTCGTAATTCACTGGCAGAAATATGAAAAGTACTAATAAAAAGTTTATTTATACTGGACGTCAAGCAAATTGGACTCGTAAAGAGCTGACAAGCTGACCAAAAAGGGTAAGTCCAGAGGTCCAGAATCAGAAACGAATGGGAGAAAACGGGGGAAGTACACTCCTCGAAATTGGTTGTTTTATGTGGCCATCGCATCGATGAAGTGTGATTAATGGCGCGTTTCAATGTGAGATGCGTAATTAAGGCAGTAGATTTATGTGCTCGGGCGCAGCTGAGCCATGACCTTCCCACCCTCAATAGCGTTAACGCCAGCACTCACATCTCCTTAACCCCCGGCTGCCGACCCATAAAAGTGGGCACTCACTGAGTGCTGCTTTATCACCTAGCCAAATGTTGCTGCTGCGCCTTTTAATTGCGTGTTTGTGTAGCACGAGTGTCGACAATTAAACAACGCATCCAAATTGATAAGCCGAAAAACGACACCTCCAACCCCTACGAATACAACTCGTGCGTCACGGTTAGTTGCACCTTAACCCAATGGTGTTGCATTAATGGAGTGAAGACGATCCACGTCGCAGGACCTTTTACCTTTACCGAGTGAAGTCCCTGCTCGCTTAATTATGCAACATTTTGTATCGGCAACCATGCGACAACTTTCTGTGTGTATTAGGCTGTTTTTAATGAGCAAGTGCACTCCTCATACACACTTTTGCAAAATTGATGAGTGCGTCAAGGAGTGTATATAAATAAAAAATAACTCTCGCGAAAAAGTTCATAAATTTTTATGATGCCTTTTGATTAAAAGATAATATAATGAAATACTTCCAGCGTATGCGTTGTTCCTTGGGGGTGGATATTCTTCTTTTTGCGTACCACACCCTAAAATCTTTTGTGTAAATACTCTGAAAAAAAAATTTGGGACTAGGGATTGAGACTTAAAGAAAAGTAGCTAAGCTTTGCTTTTAAAATTTAATGGATTGGAATGGCGTTTTTAAAAATTATTTTGATTATTACCTTTTTCCAAAAAATACTTCAAAATAAGGAAAGTTTTAGGGCATTACGTTGAACGATTACTTATCGCATCAATTTTTATTAAAGAACAGTTTAAATATATCCGAGTTTTATTGAATTTCAAGGTAAACAAGTTTTAAATGTTATAAGTCACCGTCATTAATATCTTTTTTTGAATTTCGAAGTTATGTTTTTTTCTGTGTAACAATATTTCATGTTTTCTTTTTCTCTCTTTTCTTGTTGCCTGCCCATAAATTAACCAGGTGAGGACTAAGGCTATTGACAGTCAAACTTTGCTCATTAGTAAATTTCCTACAAGGGGCGCATGTTTATCCATCTGTCTGCTCCAAGGAGTATACGTATACAATGTGCGATACACATTAAGTGTATATTCAGCCCTTTAGAGTCAGCTGCTGCCTGTGTCATTCGGTTAGCACATTTTATTGCTGATTAATTAACCGGGAGGGAGCGAGGAAGGTTCGACGACTTCGCAGTTGCATTGTGTCGTTCCGGCCTGAACTTTAATGACACCAAGTGGAAGATTTGCTAATTAAAAAAGTTTGCCAATGCGAACACGAAACACGAGAAGGCAAATAAATGAGAGTCCTTGGCCAAAGGGAAAAGTTCATTTCACTTCCAGTCGTTGTTGCTGCCCAAGTCCAAGTATCGCGTAACTATTGCCAACTACTGACGCTTTTAGCCCCAGTTATTCCAAGTTAGGAAGCATTTACGGACAAAGAATTAGTTGTCCAATTTATAGGGAATTGTGTGTGTCGAAAATAACACAGTTTGGCCAATCGAATCCTGTGCGATAGCCCACCAGAGCCGTCTGATCGGTGGGCTATTTTGGCCATTCTGGCCTTTTGGTAACTGCCAGCCGCAGGCAGCGGGCATGTCTAGTTGCTTATTTGCCTATTGATTGGTTTTCCTGGTCAGGTGCTGCTGCCATCTCGGCCAACAGCCCACCTATCAGGCATCAGCCGTCTCTGGAGATTTTAGCCTTGTCAAATTACCGCAGCTACTCCATCATCATTAGGCCCGAGCCTTCGCCTTCACCTTCGCCTTCGGATCCCGTCATCAAGGCTCACAAATTTATGGGCAAATGCTCAACTTTGCCATAAATGTTCATCATAATGTGACACAATTTCCTCAAGATTTAACGCCGCATAAAAACCCGGCGAACATTCCCATATGGTAATGGAGGGGCCCAGGAAGTGGGATTGAGTGGGAATGGGAATGGGCATTGGAATGGAAATGGGAATGGAAATGGGAGTTTGTGAGTTTGTGAGTGAGAGCTCCCCAGTGCATTGTGCAATTCGCATGCTCAATAAAGTCAAAGACGCATAGCTCTCGGCGTAAGCGGGCGCTGGCAGATGGCATAAATTTTGAAATAAAATAATATAAAATATAAATTCAGCTGCAGTCAGTCAACGAATGCAGGCGACAGATAGACGCAGTGTGAATTTAACTGACATCCCCCTCTTATCGGCCAGCTGGGAGCGGGATCACTTCCTGCTCTCGCTTTCGCTTGCGCGAGTGTGCCAGTGTGTGATATATCATAAGCGTGCGTCTGACAAGCGTAAGTACCGCCGCTGTCACTGTCACAGGATTCACAGGACTAACAGGACCAAAAGGAGCGGCAGGAGGGCAAGTGGAAGCGCCAGAAAGAGCGCCAACTCCTCGGCGTCGACGCGTGTTATTACACCATGCGGCATACTTTTAGCGCCACTCAAAGAACATTTCACTGACAGTCAGTGTTGGGGTGTATCTAGGTACTTGTACCTAGGTATGTACCTAGGTAATTTTTTTCGGTATCTTTTACCTTACCTAGGTAAAAAAATATTTGGCTACCTTTTACCTTACCTAGGTACGAATTTTCGTTTACCTTAAGTTTTAGCTATGTAAGGTATTTAGGTACTTCCATACGTGTATGTAAATATTGTGCATATTAGAAATAGCCCTGCTTCACAGCAATGCAATCGAAAACTTAGAAATATGATAGTTCCACCACTTACTCACAGAGGTCTTTATGGTAAGAATGCAAAAATATTTTCCGTTGGAATTTGGTATAATGCTAAATTAGCAATGCCGTTGCTACCTAAACAGTGCACTTTTGTCGATGACATTGGTTCCTAGAAAACGTCACAACAAATCTTAAAATGAGAAAAGAAGACGCAGAAAAAAAGGAACTACCATTAATTTTAAATGGTACTTTCTTTTTACCGGACGGGAAGTGCAAACTGTGTGTGAACCAAACTATCAAATTTGATGAAAAGTCAACCGGCAACTTGCATAAACATCTGAAGGTAAGTGAACTGTGAAGTGAATTGATAAATTAATTTTCGCGCGAAAAAATGCATGTGCGTAGACATGCACATGTGCTTTTAAACATATGTATATACATATGTGCTTATTCATACATTTATGTGGTGCAGTCATCAATGTGAATATGACCATATGTATGTATTTATGTATAGATTGTGCCTATTTCATTAAAACATTTAAACAATCATAGCATGAAGCAGCACGATTCCCGCAATTTTTTTTAATGCACCTTCGAATTATTTGAGTATGTGAACAAGCACATATTTATGTATGCATCATATATGTATGAATATGTGCTTATTGGAGTGTATGTTTAAATGTAAATGTGCATATCTATGCACATGCATTTTTTCGCGCGAAAATTATTTTCCATAAGTTTAAATAATCTAAAAGTGCATTTTAATAAGAAATTGACGGATACATACATATGGTCATAATTTTATGGACATTGATGGGGTGGTCATTCTTTATTTTTATTTTTTATTTTCCACCAAAAAATGTAAAACTATTTTTTTTATTAAACCACATTTTTATAAATATATGTATGACTAAGCACATAATAATGTTTAAATTAAACAAGTATAATGAAGACATTAAAACATTATGACACTTTTTTTTCAGAGGGTTCACCCGAACAGTTATTCTTCGTATGAAGCTTTGAAAGCGAAAAATTCAAAAATAGAAGTGAAAATTTCCGGTGATCTCAAAAAAAGAAACCAATGTGACTTATGTTTATATCTTTGTATCTCAGAAAAAGAAACTGATAATAAAAATTTCAAATTTAAAAAATTTTTAAGTTGTATTTTTTACCTTTTACCTTTACCTAGGTACAGAAGAAATTGCATACCTTTTACCTTACCTAGGTACAAATATTTGCAACTACCTTTTACCTTACCTAGGTAAAAAAAAATGGTACCTGTCTCAACACTGCTGACAGTGCGAAAGTGTGTTAGCGTGCACTAAGCGAAATTTCGTGAGATAACAAGTTTTGGCTTTGTCCATAAGGGTTGGGTTTTTAACGTTAGTGAACATTATATAATATTTTCCTACAGGAATCCAGTTAATTATTAAACATGTTCGACCTAAGAAGGGATGTTTTTGAAAACAGTATTTTATATTTCGAATGCACTCAATGTCAGGATAATTGCAATACATTAATTTCAATAGCTTACTATTGCAAAATGTGGCTGAAAATAAAACCTAAAATCCCTTCTGTGAACCTCAAAGCTTTGCAGAAGTAAATAACTATTTTTATATTGTTACATGATTGACTTATATTGAGTTAAAATAATACAAAAAGTATTGAACTCAACGTAGAGTGCCGCCATACAACAATAAAAATGTTTTTATTTGACTTTTGAAAGCTAAATCCTGATCTCAGACCATCTTTTTCCTCTGTGTGCCTGCCTGTGTGTATAAATAAAAGTTGAATGATGACAAAAGGAACCGGAGAGCAGCGGTAGCCAGGGCAAAGGCAACCTGCCCACTATACTACGGCCTGATAATGCGCTTGGCGATGACTTGTCGTGACTTGGAGCGTGTGTTTGCCGCGCTGTGTGCGTGCGAGGCGTTTAACATGTCGTATGCGCAATTTGTGAAATATGTGAGAAGAGAGCCTGCCAGCATGAGCAATAAGTTCTCCTTCTGGCCCCGCTCCGCTAGTGTGTGTGTGTGTAAGTAAGCAATTAGTTGCCTTTTCAGCTGAAATAAAAGCAAATCGGGTGAGTGCCAAGAGAGAGGGGAAAGGGGTATACAAGGGAGGATAAGCAAACAGCAGCTCATTAATATCCTTTATGCGTTTATTACATCAGCAGCCGGCGTCTTATGAAAAAACATAAATTAATGCAGAGCATCGTCCGCAAGAACGGACAGCAAAAATAGCAATTAGGCCGGCAAAAGGCAGTTGGTCGAATCAATCGGACAATTCAATATAATTGGCCTCATTTATATGGCCGCTCCAGTGGGTTTCTCTTAGTTTAATGCCGCCAGATAATTGGCAAGACGAAATTCACCATTCTGTGTAATGAAATTTAAAAATAAATGCTCAAAGGTAGACGCATGCAAAAATGCTTTAATCAAATCCCAAAATGCTCCTTCGGTCATGGTAAATATTTAATATGATTTTTTCCTCTTTTTTCTTGCGTGCCAGTGAATATGTTTTTTTTCATTTGATTCTTGTTTAAATAAATATTTGCCGTCAAGGCACTGACCCTTTGGCCTCAATGCGTCCTTTGCATTGATTGAAGTTTCCATATTTTTGTGTTTTCATGTTTTCCCCATAGAATGGGAACTCACTGGACCCCAAGCTCATGTTTGGGCAGTCGGCCAAGGCAAACAAAGAACCAAGCTCAATGTACAAAGCCGGCTCGGAGCATATTATGTTTTTCATACAAGAAATTATTCATGTGTTTATAGACCGTACTTCAATTTTTCATTCTTCCATTGAAAGATTACAGTTTATGATTTCGCTCGGTTCTTGCTTGCCTTTATTCTTTTTAATAGAAACTAAAATATTTTTAAAACAAAAGAGAGAGAAAATCAATATGAGAAGTCTTTAGAATTATCCCTATTAAATCTCCAGCAAGTTTGACAAAATTAATTTCAGAGTAAGCCCCTTATTTGTTGCTATAGGAACTTTCTGATTTTACTTTTTTTTAGGTGCCGAGAAATTTTTCTGCAAAACAGCTGAACAATTGATATGGTAGGCATAGAAACACTCTGGCTATTAATAATCAATTTTGAGGACCAGGACACTTGAGTGTTTAATAAAGCCGGCGATGGGTGGCTGGTGTAGTCACCCACAGAAGGTGAAAAAACACAAAGGACTTCACTTTATCTTTGTGCTGCCGCCTTGGGTGGATTTCCTTTGCAATCCGGAAATCACATAGGGAAATTACATAAAAAACTACTCCATTTGACTAATTTAGTGCACGCATTTGGCCCCCAGGGAAAGGGTGTGAAAGTTTGTGGGTAGGATGGACTGAAAGAGGTCCCATTTTCGCCCGTCTCTGGGCGGCTGTCAGTCACAGGAAACGTGAAACCCGTCGCCAGCCAGGTGTACTGTATACACGGCTCAGATTCACTTCCCTCATCTGACAGCTTTATATAAATAAAACAAATGGGTAAACACGTCGGCTGCTTAGGCTGCGGTTGCCACCAAATGTACCTTAAATTTGACAACATACCTCTGGCTCACAGGTGGCGCATCTGCGCCAGACTTTCATTTAGGCCATGGCCCCTGAGTTTGGCCCACAGCCCCGCCCACTTCTCCATCCGGCCCATCCGTCAATCATGGCAGCAATTCCTTATTTATTTATACACTTCTGGCTTCCTGGCTGACTTTAATCTCGGGCCCTCGCATATTTCTGTAATCTTTGCTCAATATTAATGTCGACGCATTTGTCAGCGACAAAGTTTTTTATTTTGTATTTTACAATTTAAATTAACAGCTGCTGCAATTAAATTAAACGTTTTAAATTGCCAAAAACCATTTACACGTGTCCCGGGACAACCCAAAATTTGAATTTAAATTGAAGTTAGTTTGGCAGTAAGCATTCCGCACAGCATTCCCTTTGAACGGCTTGTAATCCTTCAATTAATAATCTTCAGCTCTTTGCTTTTTGCCCAACAACAACAATAACAAGGGCGTGCCCTACATAACCCAAAGTTTTGTTGAATTTTTTCCCCTTTTTTCCTGGTCGACGAACCCTTTTCGTGGCTGGAATTTTTTGTCAGAAACAATTATTTAACGCTCGCTTCTTGGGCTCTGCATTTTTATATTCCCTTGTTCGCAGAATTAAATATCCAATTTATCAAGTCTTGGCATTGCCAATAATTAAATTTTCCTCGAAGGAATTTTCTTCGAAGGGAGGGAGGTAGGTTGTGGTATAAACAAATGGTTCAATGTTTCACAGGACGGAGAAGCAGATGTCAACTTTAAGATTTCAGCCTGTCACCTGGCATCACAAAAGAGCTTCGGCCTGAGGGGGCGTGACAGGGCGCATTTCATTCAAACACATGACGTTTAACTCGGCCTCCCGCCATGGTCACAATACCAACAGCAGCAGCCCAGATGTCCTTTTGGCCTTGTTTTTGTTAGCTTGTCTCAGCCTTGACTGACTTTGTTTATCTTTCATTATTTATTCTCTTATCGGGCCGTAGTGATAAGCTCGTCGGCAAAAGGCACACACCACACTCCCTGCTTTCACCCATAACTAATTAATTATGCCTTCTTAAAGCGGCGTTAAACTTTGCCGTATGAGGTTTACACGCACACATATAGTGGCGAAACTGGTAGTGCGAGCTGTCCTAATCCACTTATCGCTCTGGGAATCCGCTGTGTGATGGACCGATGGACCGAAAAGGGGCATAGGTTTACCTGGCTGCTGGCCAACAGTACAACAGTACAACTTGCAACTTGTTTTCGTATTAATTAGAAAAATAAACAAAGCGCCAAGCGCTGAGAAATCAAATTAAAAGTAAATTGAGAGCAGAAATCGAGTTGGGGCCAGGGACCCTTCTCGGAAAAGCCAAAGCCAATTATAGACGCTGGCTGGGGTGGTGCTGCAAGTGCTGCCACTTCGAGTGTCTACCCAAGTATGTCGGGGAAAATATTTACTTGGCCATTTAATTAATAGTCATGAATACGGAATGACACAAATGCATTTGCATATTGCATTCTAGATTCTATGCATTCGAGAGGCGAAGGAGCAGATTTTTAATTAGCTCGCGGGCCAGAAATAAACCGAGCAAAAGGGGCATTGCAATCGCAGATTCTTGACATATTGCCAGCAGCTGAGAGGCGGCCAGATGCATGAGTGAAATGGCTGAGGCGTAGCACGTGCCGCTTCATGGAAAATTGTTTGCATTTTCCGCCACGCCCCGTGATGGAAATGCCGTAGAGGGGCCATTTCGAGGGCTAAACTGAGAGCTAGATTACACAGCCCATTCTCAGTTATCGGCTACTTAAAATAAACAGTTTAATGCGAAAACTTTTCGGCTGCCTCGCAAGAACAACAAGCAATCAGGCGACGATATAGTAGTATGGACCCATCCTGTGCAAAGCACTCTTCGACGGCACAAACAAGTCATCCTGTCTATGGCCAAAGTTTCTCGGGGCAATCATTAAAATTCATTTCCTATCGACAGTCAGCAGAGACACACACATGTATTCATGTTATAGATGACGCCATTTAGTTTGAATATCTATGGCAGCAGCCACATCCTTCGCATCTGTGTACACATCTATCTATTTCTGCTGCTTTCTCTGCCTTCTGCTTTCTCTGTCCCACTCTTGCCCTCCATGTTTTCACAAGTGCCTTGGAGCGATTTGAATGCGGCAATTCCTTTTGAATTGATCCCAAAAGTGACCTTTGATTTTCGATACGAGTTCAGTCATTTTCACATGGCCCCGGCTAAAAGTCTCCAGCGACCTAGAGCCACAGGGAGAATCAGAATCAGGAACAAAAAGAGACGGAATCACACGACAAGAAAGAGACGGGCAGAGGCACAGCTCTCAAGCCAGCAAAGCCATTTTGTTTGGGTAGTTAAAGTGCCCGCATTAGTGGCGAATATAAATTTTGTCCGTAAACCTGAAAACAGCGAATGGCGGCACCCAAACCGAAATCAAAACCACAACCGAAGCCAAACCCCGGCGACATCCTCAGTGACAAAAGCGACGAAACGATGGCAAAATCAAACTAAAAGTTCGCCCCATGGAAATCATAATTCAAACGTTGAAATCAGCACACAGATTTTCCCCTACGCATATGCGTATAAACAGTGGAGGT